ATTGGGGGTCTGTTGATTGTCTTTCTCACTCAAGGTGAGATATTTCCAGTCTTGGTATGACAAGGGATTTTCAACCCTGGATATTTTGGATGCTATGTTATGAGACCCCAGATCTTATTTAAATCTTCTATTTTAGCCTGCCTTATCTGACACCAGACTAGTGCTGTCCTGGGGAGGTAGAAATTCAGGTTCCTCTGTTGACATCCCAGCATAGGGATGAGGGGAAGCAGTAGAGAGGACACCTAGTTACTGCTGGGCCAGGATGAGAGTGCAGATTGCCCTCTGCTGACACCACCCTAACTGGGAGAGGTAAGGTGCCTTGCTACTGCTCCCCACATGGCCCCCACTGATATGGTGGAGGAACACATTACTTCTGGGCAGTGCTGAAAATCTGACTCTCCACTAGAACTCCTATACACCCAAGCTGTTTGGAGTGGAAGCTTAGGGTTCCTATCTGACCTCGGATGGCAGAATGCAGATAGTATGCAATTTTTTCTGTGGGTTAGCTGGAATAGTGTGGTTGTTGTCTAAAAGTTTGCTTTCTTTCAAGGTTGCCCCTTCCTGGTTCTTTGGCTAGACAGAACAAGTTTGTGCTCACTCACTCTCTCTCTCTGTCTCTTTTCCTTTGCTGTACTCATTAGTTTCTGGATTGCTGCTTTCTCCTGTACTCAGTCTGAGATGCATGTGGCAAAAAGAAAACCCCGGGAACCAGAGCTATAACATTTCATGGGTTCCGAGGTCCTTAATCATTTTATCTTCTTCTTCCCACCTTTCAGAGTCTCCTAATTTTGTTTTATACATAATGTCCTGGGTAGGGAGTTTAGCTGTATTTAGCAGAGGAAATAGGAAGAAGTAGGTTTACTCCATATGGTCCCAGAAGCAGACATCCACAAAGGCCTTTGTGTATCATCTGTCAAATAGCAGTCAGTGAGCACACTGTTTTCCTGAATTGATAGCGAGCTTCCTCCTCTTCTACGCTCACTAGCCTAAGGGCCTTGCCATTAGCAAGTGATAATATATGGTCACATATGCTTCATATGTCCTTTAAATTTTTTCTCTCTTAATTTTTTTAAGTATTTAAAAGCAAATCCCAGACATCAGTCTTTCAAACCAATATACTTCAGAATTGGTCTCTAACAGATTTGGAAGTTTTTTTATATAACCACAACACTATTGCCATATTTAACAAAATAGATGATAATTTTTTTTTTATTTTTTTGAGGCAGAGTTTCACTGTGTTACCCTCGGTAGAGTGCCGTGGCGTCACAGCTCACAGCAACCTCAAACTCTTGGGCTTAAGTGATTCTCTTGCCTCAGCTCCCAAGTACCATGTTTCCCTGAAAATAAGATGCTTTCTTATATTTATTTTTTCTTAAGAAGACACACTAGGGCTTTTTTTCATGGGATGTCTTATTTTTATTAAGTATAATACAACAATCTATATTTATTCAAATACAGTTAAGTCATCTTCTTCTGGAACCTGACAGAGGGAGCCAACCTTGTTGGTGGGGCTGGCTAGTGCTGCGTGAACTCCTTTCCCCTAGCCGTTCGCAAGTGCGCAGTAGATGCCTTCGACTGCGGTTACCACACGCACCCACGCTCGGAGAAAGGAGCTGTGGCAGATAAAAGGTATTCCAGTCTTCCTTACTGTTCCGCACAGAAATGCATAGCCACGCCCATCACTAGGTCTTATTATCAGTGTAGGGCTTATATTTAACAAACACATAGAAATCCTGCTAGGGCTTAGTTTTGGGGTAGGTCTTATTTTCGGGGAAACATGTTAGCTAGGGCGAGAGACACCCACCATAATGCCTAGGTATTTTTTGGTTGCAGTTGTCATTGTTTAGCAGGTCCAGGCCAGGCTTGAACCTGCCAGCTTGGGTTCGGTGCCTACTCACTGAGGGTGCCCTACTCACTGAGCTACAGGCACTGAGCCAATGATAATTTACTCAATTTCCCCTATTGTCACAAAATGTCTTTTTTTAATTGTGGCAAAATTCATAACATAAAAACTTATCATCTTAGCCATTTTTAGGTGTATACACGTATACCTAGTTAACTAGTGTTAAGTATATTCAGATTGTTGAACAACTAATTTCCATAACTATTTTTATGTTGTGAAACTGAACACCAATTTTCTATTCCTTTCTCCCCATTCTACCTTCTGTTTTTATGAATCTGACTATTCTGGGTAAGGAATGTCTATTTTGAATCAGGTTTTTTGTTTTGCTGAGTTGTAGGAGTTTTTTGTTTTTAAAACATATTCTGGATGTTAGCCCCTTATCAGATACATGACCCACTTGGTCTACCAGGATCCAACAAATTCATACTATCTTAGTAAATTTGATGGTTATGACTCAAGTCTTATCTGACCTGGAGGAAATTCCTCTCTTCTCTCCCTGTGGCAGAATCCAGGTCCACTATCATGTAGAATTGTAGTTTTATATTATAACTTTGTTGCTGTCTTCCAAAATGTCCTGCTTTTGCCTTTGATCATTTCAGCAGTAAACTTTCCCTGTTGAAAGATCAAAGTTTCTCTATCAAAGGTTCCTAGAGGACTAAAACTGAAAATGAAAAGAAGCTTTACCCTCACTTGGGAATCCAAATGATGGGAAGGCAGGCTCTGGAGGGAAGCGGGTATGAGAGCTATGAGGCTAAGAGCGGGGTTAGAAGACACTGGGTCAACAGTCTGGCCTGAAGAAACAGGGGCTTTTACCATTATGGGACCCGTGTTATTCGAATCCCTACATGACCAGAGGTAGGCCCAGAACTGTCTTCCTAGCTGTGGGTGGCACTACTCCCCAGAGGGTGTTGAAGAGGACCATCCTACCTAAGGTTGCTTTGACTACAAAGGGCCTTCCCAGGAGTCCTTGGGGTCATGAGGCAAGGCTGAGGAGCCTATGGCATCCAGGTGGTTCAGGAGCCAGATAGACCACTGAGAGGAAAGCTATAGGCACCAGTAGTATCTGAACACTCAGATAAATGTCACAGGAGTTTATGGCTGCAATTAGTATTATGGGTGATTTTTTTCTCTTTATACAGCATTTTCCAAATTTTCTTGAATGAACAGTGAAAAAGGAATATATCTTTTAAAAAAAAAAAAAGTAGAACAATACTCTTGGGATTAACATAGCTATGCCCAAAGACCATTAGTAATCATAGCTTAGTACTCGGGAGATCGGTAACTGGAGTGTGGGTGCTCCATACTCTCCTTGGAGCCTAGAAGGTCAACTCCTATCCTTAGGCTGGGCCAGGACCCAGGAGCACAACCCAGAGAAGAACCAATGTGGCTACAAGCAAGCAGTCTCCTGAGTGTCATGAACTGAAGTCAGTATTCCTAGTTCTGCCTGCAGCCCACTTGGGACTAACCTATGAGGGCCCAGCTTTCAGGAAGCCCTGTTAAACCCACTGGAACCCACCCAGGGAGCTTCTCTTACCCAGGAAAGCCTTACCCCAGGCTTCTTCCAAACTCCTTCCACATACACATATACATTTCCAAAGTAAAATATTCTTTATTATAAACCTTGGACACAGGAGAAATGGCAAATAGGTGTAAAAGATGCTTTCTTGACACTGCCTCTAAAATGCCCACCATCAAAGGGGGACAGGTCCATGGCAACTGTCAAGATCATGCAGAGATGGGTCTCTATTCCCAAGACCCTAAGAGAAGGCACTTTGTTCCAGCCTAACTGGAGGTGGAGCAGAGAAAGGACCCATTTTATATTGGATTTGGAGTCCTGGAGTCTACCCTTGGGCATGGACATTTGAGACCAGGACATTTCCTCCCGGAAGGAAAGCTTAAAGGTAATGTACAAATTGCCCTGGGAATAAGAGATCAGGTGTGTCTGTGACTCTCCTGTTGTATGAGTTCAAGCAGTTCTCTTCCTCTCTTTGTACTTCATTCAGTTTATAAATACTGGTACACTAGGTCCTTTCTAGAGTTTGGTTTCAGTGCATAGGAAAAAAGAGAAAAGGAATACAAAAGCAACCCATGTAGCCATTCCTCGGAGCTGTACCCAGAAAAATGTGTGTGCAGGTGCCTGAGTGTGTGACAGTGCATGTGTATGTATATGCATCTGTGTGTGTGTCTGAATTTGTATATGTCTATGAGCCCACAAGCTTTTGGATAGGAGGTTCTTGTGTGGTAGCTATTTATAAACAAATTTGTAGGCTCGGCGCCTATAGCTCAACAGGCTAAGGCACCAGCCACGTACACCTAAGGTGGTGGGTTCGAATCCCCAGCCCGGACCCGCCAAACAACAATGATGGCTGCAATCAAAAAATGGCCAGGCGTTGTGGCGGGCGCCTGTAGTCCCAGCTACTTGGGAGGCAGAGGCAGGAGACTCGCTTGAGCCCAGGAGTTGAGGTTGCTGTGAGCTGTAATGCCACGGCACTCTACCCAGGGGGACAGCTTGAGGCTCTGTCTCAAAAAAAAAAAAAAAAAAAAAAATTTGTAAGGCAGTCAAGGTGCAGAAAGTTGGTGGGAAAGCTTTCTGTGGGTGGCCATGGAGGAAAGTTCCTGCTCATATTGCTATGGTGATCCAGCCCCAGAACCCATATTTGATGGTTTACCAGAGGCCAGGATCCTATCTCATGCCAGGTGAGCTGAGAAGGTGACCAGGGACACCTTGACAGGCAGAAGTAAAAAGCAGCCTTAGCTATATATGCCAGTGTCTTCCGGGACATGTCATTGTTGAAGGTGGAGGCTGGGAGGAGTCAAAGATGCAGATAAGAGGGGGACCCATTAGGGAATCAGGCTCAAGGTGAGATCTCCTTTTGCTGGGCCAGTCAGCTTCCCCACTGCCCTGTGGGGCAGAAGGCAGTGGGATGCGAGGTGTGCAATGATGCACTGAAGCATCAGTAGGCACCAAGGTAGAAGCAGTTGCCCCAGCAATGTCGTGATCCCAGCAGTGGCCAGCTCACCCTCAGCCAAGATTTGTCTCCCCAGGAGACCCAGAACAATGCTTCACCATTTCCTCTAGTCATTCAAACACAGCTACTGCCTATTCTCCCCATCCTATTTCTTAAGTGGGGAAATTGAAGCCAAAGATGTATGAATGGCTCAGAGCTAGCTCTACTGGTCCTCCTCTTAGTTCCAGCTGGTCCTGTTCTTCACTGTTCTGGCTGATAACCCAGCAGCCACTCAGTCACTGATTCCATACAGGACATAGGATATGATGATGTCCAGCAGCTTAGCTGCAGACATGTCTGTGGAATAGACATCTTCAGGGATTGAGAAGCAAGTAGAGGTCTGATTCAAATGAAGAAGGATGTAGGGGCAGAAGTACATAGACAGGCAGATAGATGCACACACATGCACAGTCCCAGAGCAGTCTTCAGGGCAAGGACAAGGCCTTGGCAAGACGAATCCAGAACCAAGACTTGGTACAGGGGTTGGTGTAGTCACAGATTGTGATGAACCGCAAGATGCTGGGGAATTCTTTCTTCATTGCCTTGTACTTGATGGGGATTAGACGCTTCTGATGGGCACCTGGAAAGGGGTACCATGCTGACTTTAGGCCTTTGACCCATGGTGGGGCAGGTCCAGAGCCCAACCCAAGGGTTAATAGCAGCCCTCCCCTAACTAAGCATCCCAGCACACGTTTACCCACACAAAGAAGCACAGAAGCACACACGTTCAGTTGTACAGAGACCTGTAGAAGTTCCTTGGGGCTACATCCATGGCCCCCGAGGATAGAGGGGCATCCTAAGGCCCCACCTCCCTACTCATCTCTGGCCACGCAGGGCTGAGCTTACCTGGAGAGAGGCTGAGTGCAAATTTGGTTTGGAAGTCACATTCCTTACTCTGCAGGTAATCATCAGAGACAACTACCACCATCCGGCGGCACCTAGGGGAAATTGGGCAGGCTGTAGGCCTTGTTTCAATTTAGTTCAGCAAATACCCAGGGCACAGCCTCAGGTGTGCAGTGCTCAACTAGAAGGAGACAGCACCTGGACCCCTGGGTTTCATGCAACCACCCACCTACCCACCCTTTGGCCCTCTAGCCAACCTCTTCTCAATGAGCTCACTGGCAATGGACCAGACACAGATGCCAGGCAGGACATCACGGTCAGACACACACAGCTTCAGCCGATAATTTGTCTGTTCCAGTTGTTGGATCATCTCCTGCACAAATTGGATGTCGCTGGGGCAGTAGCAGATGAAGGCATCAAAACGCTCAGGCATTTGCCCTGAGTGCAGAGCACAAAGGTGATGGTCAGAGCTCCACAGAAAGGAATAAGTGCCCTTCCCAGGAGAGGAAAGATGAATACTTCTAAGGGCCAACCTCTAGATTAACCATGAAGTAGACAGATCATTTCATGAGTCTCATAGCAATATTGATGTAAGACAGTTATTATCCCTGTTTCTTGGGTGAGGAAACTGAGGGTCCGAAAGATTAAGTAACTTGACCACAGTCCCACAAACCACCTGTTTCCAACATCCATGCTTTTTTTTTTTTTTTTTAGACAGAGTCTCACTATGTCGCCCTCGGTAGAGTGCCATGGCGTCACAGCTCACAGCATCCTTGAACTCTTGGGCTTAGGTGATTCTCTTGCCTCAGTCTCCCAAGTAGCTGTGACTATAGGCACCCACCACAATGGCCGGCTATTTTTTTTGGTTGTAATTATCATCGTTGTTTGGCAGGTCCAGGCTGGGTTCGAACCTGACAGCTTTGGTGTATGTGGCTGGCGCCCTAGCCACTGAGCTATAGGTGCTGAGCCCCAACACCCAAGCTCTTAATACCACAATGTCCTATTGCCTACTTGTTCCATCTGTCCATGGGAACAGTATTGGACCCTTACCCAGAGGGTCATCAAGTGTGGTGATGCCCAACATCTCCTCTGTCCGTGGGACACTGCTGTCTACAGCGGCCACCTGTAAGGGCTTCTCAGACTCTTCCTGTTGCTGCTTCAAAATATATTTTTGGCAGTCTTCCTCTGCAGGAAAGAGACAAGGTGTGGCAGGCTCCCGAACAGTGCTCCACCCCCCCATCTGGCCTTGTTGTATGCCAGGGCTTCTCCAGCCATCAGCAGCTCAACAGCTCTGAGAAGTTGAGCTCTCAATGGCTGACTGTCCCAAAGTCAGTGATGTACTAGCTATCCAGGAAGCCACCAAGGTCAGGCTTATACTTCTCAGTCCCTCCCTAGGGCTCCTAAGAATGGAACTAAGGTAGGTCTGCTGATTCTAGGATCCAAAGTGGATGTGAACAAGGGGTGTGGCATGCAAGAAGGGCTCAGGAGACCCAGTCCTTATGGTTCAGTGAGGGCCCCAACCCAGCAACATGTGCCTGACTACGGACAGCTGTACTTACTGCCTACACATGTATGAGTATACTTTTTAAGTGCCAGTGAGCAGCAGAAGGGGGTGCATTTTCCCAGGACCTGAGAGTTCCAAGATAGTCAGCTTCCAGTCCCTCACCTGCCCTGTTGCCCTACTTGAAACAGTCCCCAGAGAAGCTGATTCTAACTCCTGGCCCTACCACGAAGCCTTTGCCTAAGCTGCTTCCTTCCCATCCCTATCATGTCCTTTAATATCCAGAGAGAACTAGATCTGCACAGTTCTTCCTCCGAAGGCTTTTCCAGAACCCCCAGACAGGAAACGGGGGGCCCCTCCAGGGAAGACAGAATGCTGAGGCCAGTTAAAGTCAGCCTCCTAACCCCCCGGGTATGAGGCCAGGAAGAGGGTGTCCTCACCAATGCTGGGTCTCAGCTCGACCAGCACGTCTTCGCGGCCCACCTTAGCGAGCAGCTCGAGCAACCGGCCTACAGAGGCGCCGGGACGTCCCTGCCAGGTGGCCAGCAGTCTGCCGGTGGGGTCGGCAAACGTCTCCAGCTGCCGGATCTCCAAGTATTCAAAGTCCATCTCCTCCGCCAGTGTGGTCCAGTCGGCCGCCACCAGTGTCCGCACGTTCAAGAACAGCGACAGGCGGCGCCGCACTCGCATGTTGAGCGCTGTCAGAGGTAGCGAGGCCATGAAGGAGGCAGGAGTCGCGGACTCCGTACCAGTAACTCCTGCAGCCATGGCGGGCCTCCCTGGAGCGTCCGCGCTGATGGGTCGAGTTGTAGCCGGCACTTCCTTTTTCCTCTACGGTTCCCGCCCCGCCCCGCCCCGGCGGTTTTCGTTTTCCGAGAAGCGCCTCCCTGCCCTGCAATCTGGAGCTCCTAGCAGATGTGCGGAGGTGGGGGCGTCCATCCCTACCCTCGTGGTCTAGGAAGGCAGGTGGATGTGGAAACCTAGAGCCTACCTTTTGAGATTTGGGAAGGTCCACAGAACTGCCCTTCAGGGTCTGGTGGTGGTGGTAGTCGGGCAGCAGGGGTGGAGGGACGCCTTCTTTGGGGGGTTGTAGGAAACGGGTCTTGCTCTTTGGGATCTGATGGAGTCGTTTCCCTTTCATTGGGAATCTACAGGGTTCATCCGGTCCTGCCCTTGAAGGTGACCAGCAGGGAAAAAAGGGGAGGCATGAGCTCTGCCCTCCAGCGTCTCTGAGAATTGCACAATTTTGCCAGTAAGAGTATGGGGAGGGACCTGCAGAGTACTCGGAGGTGGGAGTGGGCTGGGGGGAGTCTGAGGCATGATGTAGGCCTGTCCTTGAAAGGAGGGGGTCTCGCCACCCTACCTTTCAGGGCTGGGGATCACAGGTGTCTGAGGGAAACCCAGTACTACTCTCGAGGTTCTCAGGTAAACACGTAGCCCTGCCATTAGAAAGGCAAGAAGGCACGTGACCTTGCTCTTTACCTTAGGGGACACAGTTGATCTGGGGAGCACTGGTTAATTCATTCATTCAACAGGCATTTACTGATCATCTACTAAGTGTCAAGAACATTGCAGGCTCCCCGGATACAAGTTACCTCTCTGCTTGGTGGGACCTACAGTTAGTGGGGGAGGTGGACACAAATCAAATTATTCCAATTGGGTACAAAACTGGTAAAAGAAACGTGGGATGTTCCCTCTCCAGTTAGAATGTTTGTCACACTAGGGCACCTCGGTAAAAAACCCGTTCTCCCTACTGGCCGAGAATCCCCTATTCGTTTGGTCTTCTCGAAACACTTTCTGGCTAAAGTACGCTCCTCAGAAGTATTTAGGTACCCTGGCTTGGGTGCTTGGACACTGGGAATAGCGGAGCCAACTAGGAACAGGGTAGAAATATAGAGCCCCGGCCTCCTTTTCCACCCCAATCTAGAAGCGGTAAGTGGAGCGCCTGGCCCTCGCGCCTGCTGTTCCGCGTCAGGCAGTAGGCAGGTCTGGCTTTGGGGTTCCGCTTCTAGTTTGAGGGCAAAAAAGTTGGAAAGGCTTCCGCCTGCGTTTCCGGGGGTAGTTCAGAAGAACCCACCTCCTGGTTGGCCGCGTTAAGCTACAGTAGGCTGGGTTCTTCTGGAAAACTGGTCTAGGTGGTGACCGACGTCTTTGCCTTGGAGGGTCCTAGTCTGCGACCAGGAGGTGGGCGGTGGAGAAGGGGCGGGCCGTAAGGCAGACTCGCCTTCTGGTTGGCTGCAGTGAGAGGCGAAAGGGACCTTTGGAAAGAGGTTCGTGTTTGTCCACGGGACTGTGGGCGGGGTTTAGGCCTCCGGGGCTGAGGTGTGGTTCTGCGCCTGCGCGGGCGGCCGTCTGTTTGCAGCTATCGTCAGTTCCCAGGCAGGTGGCTGTTCTATCGGGCCCGGCATCGTAATGCGGAGGCTGCAGGTAGTGCTGGGCCACCTGAAGGGCCAGCCCGATTCCGGCTGGGCGCCTCAGGCTGCGCCATGCTTGAGCAGCGACCCGCGGGCCTCGGCAGCGGACGTAGTGGTGGTGCACGGTCGGCGCACGGCCATCGGCAGAGCGGGCCGTGGTGGCTTCAAGGTGAGGCCCATCGGTCTGGGCTCTAGGTGTGAGAAGACGAACCGGGAGGGCTGGGATCCAGCTCATCTGCTTAGTTCCTCTCGACGCGGGAGGCAGCTCCATATCCGAGTTGTGGTTTCTTTGTCTCCGAGGGTGAGCATAGGGGTCCGGGATGGGGGAGAGTCACCGCGGCTGCTCTTCCCTGTTTCAGGACACCACCCCCGACGAGCTACTCTCAGCAGTCATGACGGCGGTTCTCCAGGATGTGAAGCTGAGGCCTGAGCACCTGGGGGACATCTGTGTAGGTGAGCACACCACCCAGGCCCTGAGTTGTGCTCTCTCCGGTTTCCTATTTCTCCAGAGCCCTCCCTGCTCTAAGTTTAAGGGAATGTCGATGGCCCACACCTTATTTCCCACCCCTATATCTGTACCCTTGAAATATAACAAGCTTAAATTCCCACCCCTATATCTGTACCCTTGAAATATAACAATGTAATATGGGGAGAATCTCTTCTGTTGGTGGCTCCCTTAGGTGGGGAATCACACTGTTCCTTCTGGAGTGACAGTAAGAGTAGGAGAAGGACTCTGGGTGAGGTGTGCATTTCAGAAACTCATTTCCCTGACCGACAAGATTAGTTCTGTTAGACTTCAAGCTTGCATTGCATTTTTCTTTCCTTAAAGTCTTCCATGTCATCTTTAAGAACAAGCAGCTTGCCTATCTGTGCTGATTTGGAGAAGCAGGGTATATGGGCATGTGAGCTTGGGATCCTCAGGGACAAGAGTCGGTGTAGGACCAGGACATGCTGTTGTATGACTGGCTCACCTGCTCCAAACACTGAAGTTCTAAAGCTGCAAATGACCGGCTAAGGGCCAATGTCCTAAAGAAAGATCTGGAATGTCTCCTCTCTGGTATTCACAGCTATATCCTAGCGTCCAGAACACCACCTGGCACTGAATAAAGGTTTGTTGTCCACAGGAAATGTGCTTCAGCCTGGGGCCGGGGCAGTCATGGCCCGAATTGCCCAGTTTCTGAGGTAAACTTATCTACTTCTAGCTCTGGGTTGGCCATTTTGACCCTTGAGTGGGCCTAGGCCCCAGGGAACTTAGCCTGTGGGCAGGGGTGGGTCAGGTTGGACGTTAGACCTTGAGGCAACCAGAGTCCTTGGCACTTTCCTCTGGTAGATTCACCTTTCTCCTGCATTTGAAAGGAGGATGTATTACCCAATGTTGAGCCAAGACACCTAGGGCCTTTGGGACTAGAGCAAAAGTTCTCTGGGGCTTGAATTTTAGCCAAAGCCAGTTGATTGTTTGCCTTATATAAGAGTGGACTCTGTCCTTATTTGTAGGGTAGGCACATTGAAGAGTGACTTTGAGCCTTTTTGCTAGTTGAGCAAGCTAGCAACTCTGGTGATATCCCATCAGCAGAGACTTGGGGATAGGACAGAATCCTGGAGAAAGGGGAAGCTCAGGAGCTCTGAGAAACTTGCCCTTGTGTGACCTCTGTCCAAAAATGGGGGATTAGTGCTTAAGTTATTTTCGGGTGGAGATTTAAGAACTGCTTAGCTTTGTACATCCACCTGCTTAGAGAAAAAGTAATAGGAACATTAGCTAGTGAAAGAGGAAAACAAAAACCTCTAGAAACTGGGAGCAGTTTGGCCTTTTTAGACTGTAATTCAAGGTTCTCACAATCTGGCTCCAGACTCATCTTCCAGCTGCTTACTGGTCCTGACTTATCCTCTTTCAGCCAGCTCGGTTTGCCTACTATCCTCCCTACTCTAGTCATTATGTCCCCTTGAAAGTACTATTCCTATGTCCTCTCTCTGCCTTAGCTGAACCCTGTCCAAATACAATCCTACCATTTTTTTGCTCACAGCAACATCCAGCTCTTGGGCTTAGGTGATTCTCATGCCTCAGGTTCCCAAGTAGCTAGGACTACCGGTGCCCACCACAATGCCTTTTTTGTTGCAATTTGGCCCAGGCTGGGTTTGAACCTGCCACCCTTGGTATATGGGGTGGCACCCTACTCAATGAGCCATAGGCACCACCCAGGCTTACCATTTTTGACATGATTTAACCAAACACACAAGCTTAAAATGAGAGGCCCTTCCTCTCCAGTGCCTAGCCATGTACTTCCTTGTGAGGTCCTTGTGCTGTCTTGCCTGTTATTTTAGTTTCTGCTAAGTATTGGATGGGCATCCTCTAGGGCACAGCATTATAAGCATCTCAGCATCCCTAAAGTGGTACCCATGATAAGTAGGTATTTAGTGATTACTTGGTAGATTGGGTAAACTCACATAATAGGGAGTTAGGGGACCTGGGAGGGATTAAATAGGCTGTACAGATCTAGAAGTCTGTCCACCTAAGAGGATCTCTCTGCAGAGCCTCAAGTGTTCCCAATGTTGGTTACACACCAGAATCACCAGAGTACTTTTAGTCCCTGAGGTTCTGAGTCTATAGGTCTAGGGAGGGCCTAGAGATTTTCCTGGGGCTTTGTACTGTTGGCCAAGGCAGGTTACACCTGCCTGCTAGCTTCCAGGGCTCAGACCTGTGTGAGAACCCAAGGGAACACAGCAGGGGAAGGGATGTTAGACACATGGTGCCTAACGTGTCAGAGTTCTTCATTTGGCTGGGAGCAGGCTTTCAGGTGTGAATAGGGGAACATAAAGGGTAGCCATATGGTTACTGATAAAGCTGAAGGGTGAGGATGGCCTCTAGCCTCAGACTTTACACAGACTTTAGACATTTCTTTTGCTTTGGTGCTCTCTCTTTGTTCTTTGAGAGAAACAGAAATGTATAGTTTTCATTTTTGAATCCTCAGAGGGAGAGAATAAGGATCCCTGTTTCCCTAACAGGCTTCTCTTGCCTTGAGGCTGGGCTTGGCCTTTGGTTGTGGAGAGTCATTGGTTGAGGCATGCTCTTGTGGGACCCTGGGGACAAGTGCCTGCAGAGATGGGCTCTCCCTAATAGCTGTCCATTCTCCATTCCATGGATCTGGCCTGGCATGGGGTGAGGGCTGCCACATTTGTTCACCCGGTCTTTTTATGGCCTGATGGGGGTAGTTGGAAGTACGTGCCTGATTTCCTTAAGAGCTTGGCAGGGGAGAGGGGCTCACTTCACTGTCTCACCTTCTGTTTCAGTGACATCCCAGAGACTGTGCCTTTGTCCACTGTCAATAGACAGTGTTCATCGGGGCTACAGGCAGTAGCCAGCATAGCTGGTAAGTTAAGACTGGATGGGTGTCCACAGACTTGTCTGGCTTTAGTCCTGGCCCTGTGGGATTGGGTTAGCAAAGCCACTGTCTGCTAAGCAAGCAGTCAAGATTTCTGAGAGGACTCTTAACCACAAAAAGAATGAAGGAGTACCTCTTGCCACTGCCCAAGCTTTTTTTCTGAATACTCTTGGATCTTCCATCTCTAAGGCTGGGGCTGAATCTCACATAAAGACCAGTTGGGGCTCTACTGCTTCCAGAACAGATGGACTCTGGCAAAGGATGTTTATGAAATGCTTTTGTTGCAGGTGGCATCAGAAATGGGTCTTATGACATTGGCATGGCCTGTGGGTAAGAATATTTTTCTGCCGGAGCTTATTAACCAACTTACGACAATAAAACTAATTTCCATCTCCTGACTTCTCGGAGGCCATGATTTCAGGATTCCCCCTGTTCCCTTCAGGCAGCTGGCTGGGAATGGGTTCTCACAAATGCAGCTTGGGAGTGGCTTCCAACTCCACAGCTTCAGAAATGCTTACGCCTCTCAGCACTAGAAGGAGAGAGCAATTGGCCTCTAAAAGCTTTTTTTCTTGGATATTTGTCAGACTGGAAAATGTGGGCAAGATGTGGAGAAAATATAGCACTTGGGTTTCCTTTTGTAGCCCTTGTTGAATCATGGTGCTGCTGAAAGAGAAGTTACAGTTTTGATTCCCTAAAGCAAGGGACAGCTCCTTACTGCATAACTAGTTTGTTCATCTTACTAGGCTGTCTCCTTGTCCCCCACCCTGGAAAATTCCAGCTGCCTATTGGGTTCTGGGGGACATGGTTAGATACTTGGTGGTTTGGTCACTGTCATCTCCACCTAGACTGTGGCTCTATCTTTGGCTGCAATGAACAGAGTTGCAGAAGTTGTATTTGGTAGTGCTTCCAGGGAAGTTAAGGGCACTGAGGCCCAGGCTTAGGGAGTACTTCTGGTGCTGGGAAGGCAGAAGGAGTGAGAGCTTTGGCAGATTCGGGGATGGGAGCAGCCGCCAGGTTCTGGAATGCTCCCAATGCCTCTCAGAGCCTCATGGTAGTGTTTGCCAGCTCTTGTCCTGGGGCTACGTTAACTGGCACTGTGTTTTACTGACCTGTGTCTACATTCACAAATAAGGCCAAAGACCACCCTGCAGAGACTTTGACTGGGCAATGGTTACTGCCCTTTAATATCTCTCATGTCCCTTTCTTTGTTTTTATTTTTAGAGATAGGGTCTCACTCTAGCTCAGGTGATTCACCCACCTCTGCCTCCCAAAGTGCTAGGATTACAGACAAGAGCCATCGCCCTGCTTCATGTCCTTTTCTTATTGGGGGGAAGTGGTAAAAAGAAGGACTAGGCCCTTTATGAGTTTCTTAGAAGGTATCTGATTCCCAAATAGGTTAAGGACCGTACTACTTGGTTATTAAGGATCTAGGCCAGGACTGACACCCACATCATAAGCTGTCTGTTCTGCGTAGGTTTTGTTTTTTGAACAGAGTGTCACTCTGTTTCCCTGGGTACAGTGCTATGGCATCATAATTCACAGCAACCTCAAACTCCTGGGCTCCTCCAGTGATTCTCTCCCCTCAGCCTCCTGAGTAGCTGGGACTACAGGTCCCTGCCACAATGCCTGGCTAGTTTTTCTGTTTTTGGTACATATAGGGTCTTGTTCTTGCTCAGGCTAGTCTTGAACTCCTCGGCTCAGGCAATCCTTCTACCTTGGGCTCTCAGAGTACTAGGATTACAGATGTGAGCCACTGTGCCCAGCCTATACCCATAGGTTTTGATCATGGCATATGACCCAGGGCATCCTAGTTAGGAGTAGACTGTGGGACCAGACTACCAAAATTTGGATCCCAGCTGGGTGACTGTGAACAAGTTACTCGGCCTCTCTGGACCTCAGAGTCCTCATCTCTAAAGGGAATACCTCCCTTAGCTCTGTGGAAGTTGATGAGATTAGATGGAGTAATAACAGCCTGTAATACGGGACATAAATCAGGTGACTGGCACAGCTTGAAGCACTCTAATACCTGGAGAGAGTTCAAAATAGTGTTGGGCACATGAAAAGCACTCAGTCAAGGTTATCTGTTACTATCCCTTAAGGCCTTGTGGCTCCCCAGCTCTTGGAAGCCTGTTTTGACTACACTAAACTGGGGAGTTCACCTTCCTCTGAGCTCTAGCACTTTCTTGTTTATATAGGTCAGGTCTGAGCTTTGTGGTTACTTTCAAAATATTCATCTCTTCTTGCCTTTGAATTTGTGGGCCCCAAGGCAGGCCCTGGGCTTGTCAGATGCATTTCCTCCTCCACCGACATTAGAAGGCTTTCCTCCAGAACTGGCTATTGGCTGAGTTAGCAGTTATTTAGGGAAGCACAGCCCTGCCTCCAGGGGTGTAGGTTGTGCAGTGCTTGTCCTGGAGCGGGGGGGTTGAAGCAGAGAAAGAGCTTGGTATCCCTATGCCCCCAGCTCTGCCAAGCACATTGCTGGGCAAGTGCCTTGTCTGTGGCTCCCAGACAGTGCACTGAGCTTCTTGAGGGCTCCCTGGCTATTTCCTAACACTTGTCAAATGTCTAGCCATCCCTGGGGGGGTACTACTCAGGTTCAGCTCATCTCTTCCTCCTCAGGGTGGAATCCATGTCCCTGGCCGACAGAGGAAACCCTGGAAATATTACTTCCCGCTTGGTGGAGAATGAGAAGGCCAGAGATTGCCTGATTCCTATGGGGTGAGTGGCCCCCTAGTTCCTCATGGGAGGAGCAGGGGCTGAGGAACTTTATCATCTCTATGGTAGGAAGTACCAAGCATTAGTCTCCTTCCTTTGGGCATAGTCTAGTCTATAGGGACTCCGGGGTTGGGATTTGATGCTGCCCTTGACTTCCCTTTCCTGAGGCCTCCAGGTCTTCTCTGCTCCTGAGTTTCCAAACAGAGCCCACCTTGGTACCCGCACCCTCAGGTGCTCAGTCACAAGAAGGATGATGGCAACTCTAAATCCTTGGAGGCTTAGAAAGTTGAGGAGGAAGTGGAAAGCTTTTGATTATTGAGTATGTAGGTGGGGGAACTTGGGCCTTGTCAGGTGCAACATGAAAAATAAGTTGCATTTGTCCGAAGCACCTTAGTTAGCTCTATAGCCAGTGTCCCTAAGCTTCCAGGGTCCATGGGCAGGGAGGCCTGGCTTCAGTGGATATGTGACATGTGAGGAGATTGAGGCTTGGAGGGAGGCAGTACTTTGGCTTCTTCCACATACTGAATCTCTGAGGGAAGCCTGTAAAGCCAGAATCCTGGGCTGGAAGCCCATCCTGTGGCTCTGGGCTCCTAGGATAAGGATAGACCCTAGCCAAGGTGACCAGAAAGCCTAGGTTTGGCCTTTCCAGAGGGTACTTGGGAGTCTTCCTCACCCCACATAAAGCAGTGTGAGGCACAGAAGAGTTGTTATTTAGTGTTCCTTCTCTGGGCAGAGGCAGGGCAGCTTACCTAGGGAACAGACTCTTTTCTACAACCACATCCTCCCCTAATACAGCCTGCTTGCTCTCTTGGAGAGGGTCTTCTTGGATCTGATCATTATTATGGACTCCCTGTCTGTGCCTCTACGTCCACCCTGGGCCCACTGCTGTCCCTATGGCACGTACTGACCCTAGGAATCCAGAGTTTCAAGCATAGCTCTACAGCCTGGTCCAGCCCCCAGATAAGTGCTCACACTATTTGCTGTTTGTGTTCTAGGATAACCTCAGAGAATGTGGCTGAGCGGTTTGGCATTTCACGGGAGAAGCAGGATACCTTTGCGCTGGCTTCCCAGCAGAAGTGAGTGCTGGTTGGGGTGGGATGTTCAAAGTGGTAGAGATTGAAGTTTGGTTTTGTTTTTTTGAGACAGTCTCACTCTGTGCTTTGGGTAGAGTGCTATGGCATCATAGCCCATAGCAACCTCAAACTTTGGGTTCAAATGATCCCCTTACCTCAACCTCCTAAGTAGCTGGAACTAGCCACAACACCCCCCCCCCCAAGTTTTTCTGTTTTTAGGAGACAGGTGTCATTCTTGTTCAAGCTGATCTTGAACTCCTGAGCACAGATGATCTACCTGACTTGGCCTCCCAGAGTGCTAGGATCACAGGTGTCAGCTACCACGCCCAGCCTAGAGAGTAAACTTTTGAGGGTATCCTAAGTAATTTTAGATAGAGCTGTACTGAAGTCCAGAGGATGCAGCTGGGCAGTGACCAGAGCCACTGTAGGTCTGTAGCACTTCCAGGTTCTGAACTGTCTATATGCTCTGAGTGTCTTCTCCCTAGTTTGGCCTCAGTTTCCTCATCTTGTCATGGGGACAGAATGAGGGCCAGGTCTCCCTTTTCTACCTAGCTATGGTTTGGTGATTGGATATGGTAGCCAAAGGCTCCTCTGGGTAGGCTACAGTATGGGGCCAGCAATGCTAGCCTGGTTCTGGTCCATGCCTGGGTCTGTGGTAGCAGGTTGAGGCCAGAGCTGGGGATAACATCATAAGAACTCCAGGAGCTCAGGCCTCTGGCAGGGGCATGCTAGGTTATGGAGCCCCAGCTGCACAGAGTGATAACAGCAAAGGAAGGGAGAAGTGTCTGGGCCAGGTAGGCTTCTCTAAGGCAGTGATTTTTAGCCACTTGAGGTTAGGTAAACATTTGGAAATTCATTAGAAACATTGGATTCCCACTTATATTTTCTACATGATTGTCCTAAAAATGCCATGGACCTTAAAATTGTTCAAATACAAAAATGCATGGATAGGCTGAGCATGGTAGCTCATGTCTGTAATCGTAGTACTCTGGGAGGCTGAGGCAGATGGATTGCCTGAGCCAGAGGGAGACCTTGTCTCTAAAAAAAAAATAGCCAGACATTGTGGTGGGTGCCTGTAGTCTCACTTACTTGGGAGGCTGAGGCAAGAAAATCATTTAAGCCCCAAAGTTTGAGATTTCTGTGAACTATGATATCACGGCATTCTACCAAAGGCAACAAAGTGAGACACTGTCTCAAAAAAAAAAAGTGCATCAAGTAGTTTAGTATATGTCACTTTAAGTATGTGGAAACTGGGGAATAGATGAAATCAAGCTTTAGGTTTGAACAGAAAATTTGATAGAACCTAGGACAAATTTCATGGGGCTCCATCCTCAGTTTAGCAGAGAGAGCCACAGAGGCTTATTCTCTTTTGAACCAAAGAGCTGTAAGGGGGGTACACCACCTCCAAACTTCTTACTCACTCTTGAGTTTGGGATTAGCCATGATCTGGAGATACAGCGCTGATGCCAGAGAAGGCCCTGTTAAGGCCTTGGATGTGCCTCCAGCTAACTTCTAGGGGCTGGTAGGGGTGGTAAGGAACCCCCATCAATCCCTCAGAGTTCCTCCAAAGCTAAATTGTCCCCAGATTTATCAGTCTTGAGCTTGTATCTGCCTAAATGGGCATTGTGTAAGGGCAGGGAAGAAGGGAGCCTGAGTCTGGCTGTCCATGGTGCTGGCAGGGCAGCAAGAGCCCAGAGCAAGGGCTGTTTCCAAGCTGAGATTGTGCCTGTGACCACCACAATCCATGATGACAAGGGTACCGAGAGGAGCATCACTGTGACCCAGGATGAGGGTATCCGCCCCAGCACTACCCTGGAGGGCCTGGCCAAACTGAAGCCTGCCTTCAAGAAGGATGGCTCTACCACAGCTGGTGAGACTGGGGTGGGGGGTGTCAGGAAAAGTGCCACAGGCATGCTGGGTTCTCTGCTCTGGGAGTAGAGCAAATCAGACCTCTCTACAAAGTGGATATGGGAGGGCTGGATCTCCTTGAGCTTGCCCCGATGCCTCCTTACTCTAACAATTTGCCCCTAGGAAACTCTAGCCAGGTGAGTGATGGGGCAGCTGCTATCTTGCTAGCCCGGAGGTCCAAGGCTGAAGAATTGGGCCTTCCCATCCTTGGAATTCTGAGGTCCTTTGCAGTAGTTGGGGTCCCTCCTGACATCATGGGCATTGGACCTGCCTATGCCATCCCTGTAGCTTTGCAAAAAGCAGGTAAGATGGCTCCTTCACACCCTAGATCTGGGTTCCACTTGGATCTTGTTCCTGCTTTACATGTTGTTGCTGGGATGTAGTGAGAATAGGTGGTGGAGGTAGCCCTGAGGGTGCTGTGGAGTGAGGGTGGTTAGGGTGGCACCCCATACCCCAAAGCTAGGAGTGGCTCACCCTTCTGGAAGAAACAGATACACAGGCAGCTTGTAGGTCCCCAGGAAGACTGAGAGCCCTGCTAAAGGGGCCACTGTGTCAGCTCAGATCTTTACCTTGCTTTCAGGACTGACAGTGAATGATGTGGACATCTTTGAGATCAATGAGGCCTTTGCTAGCCAGGTGAGCCCTTGTTTTTGCAATATTGCCTTGGCCCTGGGCAGCCTAGGTGGAAGGAACAATCATGTGGTGCAGGGGAGGAGGCTACAGGATTATTGCTAATACTCTGCCTCTTCTTAGGCTGTCTACTGTGTGGAGAAACTAGGACTCCCTCCTGAGAAGGTGAACCCTCTAGGAGGTGCAGTGGCTTTGGGCCATCCACTGGGCTGCACTGGGGCCCGGCAGGTCATCACACTGCTCAACGAGCTGAAGCGCCGTGGGAAGAAGTAAGGCTGGCTCCCTATAGGGGTGTTGGGTGGGGAACTGGGGCATCTGAGAGGTACAGGATAGGGAGAGATGGAGTTTGGGTCATAGTCCCAAAAGACACAGTCCTTAATGCCATAATCCCAAATGTTAAAATCTAAAAAAGTTCTAGGGAAGGGATTGGCGTGTGTTCAGTTGTACACAGGATAGCTGTATCATGTTGGGTGGAACTACTACTTATTATCTTTATTTGGAAATTAAGTATGGTTTAAGGAGGTGGCTTGTGGGTGCCAAATTGAAAAGGGGTGAACATTTGGACTTAATTGAGGTATGTCAATTTGTCCTCATTAAGGAATATCTATAAACCTGATAAAGCACAATTTTGGTTGTGTCTGTAAGGATGTTTACAGAGGAGATGAGTATGTGGCTCTGGGTGCACTGTGGGGAGGTTGGCTCTCAGCGTTGGTGGACACCATTCAATTGGCTGAGGGCCTGGAGAGATCAAATAGGGAAGCTGAATTAGTCTCTCTCTGAGAGCTGGAAAAGACTTTTCTTCTGCCTTGAAAGCAGAACTTTGACTCCATGAACGTATGTTACCACAACACTGACTTTGTATGCAAGCATTATACAAGTATGTAAAAACTCTGAAGCTGCCTCAGAAAATGAAGAGATATTCTTTTTGTACATCTGCATTTGTGAAAAATAAAATTTCTGAAGATTTCTTGGCTCCTTGGATAACTGAATATTTGGTCAAAAGACTTAATTTGTCCAACACAATATTTCAGATGAAACTGGGTGCACATAATCACCAATCATAGTGATATGCATTTATGCATTTGATTTTTGACCTATTTATGAATCTAGTTGGTCTGCTCATAACAAACCTGTGCAGCTGTCATTGGTATACCTGAGTGTTTTTGGTTGTAAACATATGTATGTTACTTTTGCCTCTTTTATCACATAAAGTGGCCTATGAAATGTTGTGTTTTTATGTTTCTCAACATATAAAGTATAAATAAAAGATAGTTGGGTGTTTTTTTTCCAGAACTATATATTTTTTGGATTTTGATCTTTCAGGATTTCAACATTCAAGATTATGGTGTTCAAGATTGTGTCTTTTGGGATTATGGTCAGCTCCTAGGAAGGGGACATGCACACATAAACAGTCTAAGCTGAGGATGTAGGGGATGATTTAAGCTTTTCGAGGGCCAAGCTTGAAAGAGACCTTGGCCTGCAGTAGGCATCTGCCACCCTATCTGTGTACCCTAGGTAGAAAGTCAGGGTATTAATTGCCCCCAAATCTGGTTTGATGGTTTTGTATCCTCTGTGTCCATGATGGCTGTGGTCCATTTTTACTCAGCCTGGTCTGAGTGTAGCTCGGTGGCTGGGCCTCTGCCCAGCATGCTTTTGCCCAGCGAACGTGATTTTGTTTCCACAGGGCATATGGAGTGGTATCCATGTGTATTGGAACTGGAATGGGAGCTGCTGCTGTCTTTGAATACCCAGGGAACTGAGTGGGGGCCCAGGTGAGAGGCGCTACGCATATAGCCCTGCTTTAGCAGCAGGGGCACAACACTACAGAAGTGAAACCACATGGGAAAATTCAGCACTGCTGGTGGTGGAAGCAGAGAAATGAAAGCAAACTAATTTGGAAAATATGAACGCTGATGACACAGTATAGGAGTGGGTGGGGTGTTGGGTCATCCCCTTTTAGGCCCCCTATAGCTGGGCCAAAGTCAGCCTGGTTTATCTAGGCTATAAGGCTATCATGTAATTCCTGGGAAAGGGAGATTTATGGATGAGGACTGTGATGGCTGTAGTAAATGTGTGCTAACCTATCTGAGCAGCTGTGGTTTTATTCCAGGGGCCAGTTTTTGCCATGCTGGTCTTCTGTATGTTCTATGAATAACAATTCTCAACTGCTATGGTCTCCACCTAGCCTTTACATTAGCTCTGAGGACACATGTGCAGGGCCTACACTGAGATGTGTCATGGAAGGGGGATTCTCCATTCCAGTAGCTGCTCAGAGGGCTCCCAGTATGTGTCCCTGCCCAGCAGACCTGCTCCTCAGCCCTGGGCCATATTTATTCCACAGCTGGGCACCAGAGCTGAGGCATGGGGCAGACCCTCAGAGCTGGTAAGGCAACATGTATCTCTCGTCGTAAGAGCCTTGGCCCCGGAGCCGAAGGGTGCAGGCCTTCTCTCCAAGCATGCCTTCCACCACCAGTGTGGATTCATACAGTTCACTGCTCCTATGGGGAGTGGGTAGGGTTGAGGTTAGAAGGGGCCCCTGAGCAGGGATTTGGGGCCCTGTGGGCAGTGGGGGGGAGGCCAAGAGATGCTGTACCTGGCAGTGAAGTAAACATTCAGGGTGATGGAGTTTGGAGGTGCATTGACGGGTCGTGCCTCGAGAAGCCCACTGGTTGGGGACACCCTGAAGGCCACAGAATCCCTGGCTGGCTCCTGCTGGCCTGCACCAATGGGAAGAGAGGACATACACCAGCTTAGGCAGCTCAATGTGCTGCCTTGGAAAGCCTTCACCAACCCACAGGCCTGCCTACATCTCAGGAGTACACCTCTTACCTTGTTCAGCACCACAGACCAGGACAACCCTGGGATCACTTAGGATTGGGGGACTGGCTATCTTTGCATAAATTTCAGGTGGTGCTAGCCCTGAGAGCAAGCATGCAGGGACAAGGGCATACCCCCTTCCTGGGGGTCTTGTATTGGCACAGCCCCATAGGGGAGCAGTGGGCAGGTGGGAAGGCAGAACAGACCCATCAGTATGGTCCAGTAGCTGTGGCAGCCGCTCAGGTTCATCAGGTAGACTTCCCGGACTCGCTCCTGGTTCACAAAGCAGGTCCCGAAGTCCACCCAGCTGGTGGAGAGCTGCAGCTCAGGCACAGCGACCGTGGCCCGCAAGGGCACAACCTACACAGGACCAGGCAACCTTGCCCACTCCAACTGGGCTCTGAGCCTGGGTCTCTGGGACACAGGAAGCCCTGCCAACTCTAAGTACTGATGCTTCTGAAGATAGCAGGGAGGAACTCTGGTGGGTGGCAAGGGTGCTAGCAGAGTCTGTGCAGGGAATGGGCCAAGGCAGTGCCATCTGTTCTCCCTGCCATCCCTGCCACCCTTACTCCCACCAAGCTCTAGTCCCTGTTTCCGCTGGGTTTGGTTGGATCACCCTTCTCCACCTTTGCTCCTGCTTTACTCCTCCTCATGCCCCTCCACCCCCTCCTTGTTCTCCTCCACCCCTTTTCCCTCCTATGGGGACCCCTGTGGTCCAACTTTCAGTTCTTCTTGGGCCCTGGGCCATCTGGAGATGTCCTTTGGCCTCAGGCCCTACCTGTATTCTACTCTAGTTCCAGGCAGTTCCCACATCACCCTCAGGTGCTGTAGGACGCAACCCCATCACCTAGGGCCCCCACCTCTGCCCCAGCAGCTGCCTAGGGCCTCTTTCAGGCCAGAGGGAGCCCCCAGGGCAGGGCCGTGCTGTTGCTGTCCTCTGACCAGAACAGAGCCATGTGCAGCAGGCTGAGACTCAGGTACCTGAGTGGTTTGGTTGCTATACTCCAGGAGCAGATTCTGAATAAACACCATCTCTTTCTCTCCACTGGCGCTCTGCTGAATGTCCACCCCAGGTAGCATCTGGTCAGCTGGGAGCTTCTGATAGGAGAGCAGCTCCAGGGAGAGTGAGAAATACACATTCACCTGGCCAGATGAGACACAACGACCTTGCAGGCTGCTCAGGGTGGGTGGCCTCTTCCCTCCCCAAGCTGCGGCCCAGCCTTACCCACCCAACAGCTCAGCAGCACCCCTGCCTGGTGCTTTCATTCCACAGATGCTGCCTAGCACCCTGCTTAGCCAGGGCTAATCTGCACCTTCCCTCAGGGGTCAGAGGCTGGAGGGGAAGGGACAGCAAGTGAACCACCCATCACCACCTCCTATGCCTGGGCTGTGGTTGGGCCCATAGACTGAGGAAGGACTTTGTCTTTATCCTGAGGACCATGAATAGCTTTGGATGGGTTTTAAGGAGGGAAACATCTGAGTCAACTTTGCCTCCCACAGGGGTCATTGGCTCTGCAGGAGTTAGGCTATAGGGGCCCATGCAGGTAGGAGAAACCAGTTGGGAGGAGGAGACTATAACTCAAGCTAGACAGGATGGAGCTTGGGTTCCTGCTTCCCAGACACAGTCTTTAGCACAAGCTCATCATGATCAACTGAGGCATTTGTTAAAAATATAAGTAAAATTTATATAAGTGGGTTTTTTTGAGACAGAATCTCACTTTGTCGCCCTTGGCAGAGTGTGGTGGCATCACAGCTCACAGCAACCTCAAGTGCTTGGCAAGTGATTCTCTTGCCTCAGCTTCCCAAGTAGCTGGGGCTACAGGCACCCTCCATGCCTGGCTATTTTTAGAGATAAGGTCTCACTCTGGCTCAGGCAGTCCACTCACCTTGGCCTCCCAGAGTGCTAGTATTACAGGTGTGAGCCACCATGCCCAGCCTAAAATATATATTAGTTTTAAAAGTAAATTTAGGGACTAGGGTAGAAGGGAAAAAGGCCTTTGTTATTATTTTTTTTTTTTTTTTGAGACAGAGCCTCAAGCTGTCCCCCTGGGCAGAGTGCTGTGGCATTACAGTTCACAGCAACCTCCAACTCCTGGGCTCAAGCGAGTCTCCTGCCTCCGCCTCCCAAGTAGCTGGGACCACAGGCGCCCGCCACAACGCCTGGCTATTTTTTGGTTGCAGCCGTCATTGTTGTTTTGGCGGGTCCGGGCTGGGGATTCGAACCTGCCACCTTAGGTGTACGTGGCTGGCGCCTTAGCCGGTTGAGCTATAGGCGCCGAGCCGCCTTTGTTATTTTTGATGTCATCTTACTGAATAAATTGAAATAAGAAATTTGTCTTTTCTGAAACTGGCTTAGTGATTAGGTAGTATCATGTGATAATTATGTGTAATTTAGCTTTTAAAATGCTTTATATCATGTCTAATAAAAAGGAAATTATTTTTTAAATTTTCTTTTTGTTTGAAAAATACAAATTTTACACATCTCTGGAGGCAGGACTGGGGCTTCTATCTTTAGGGCGTTGCTATATTGTTAGGCTTGGAAACCACTGTCCTAGACCAAGATATAGAGACAGAGAGGAGGAAGAAGTATGGCGAGATTCAGGAAGGACATCCACAGCCTTAGTGGTTGGTCAGAAAGAGAGGAGCCCAGGATGAGAAGTACTAGAACGAGGCTTGGGCAAGAGGGTAAGAGTGGTGGTATTTACTGATGGGAAGTACCCCTAGAAAGAGGGGACACCAGTGTGGGACAGGACAGGGTGGAGAGTGGATGGGGAATTTGGTTTGGACAGGTTGAGTGTGCTTCTAGAACTTGAGAAAGAATTCTGGTCAGGAGCCAGATGCCTCGAGCATTGTTAGCACATGAAGTGTGAGATGCAGTACTGTTATCTGATTGATGTCCTGTTTTAAGGGAACTTCTGGGCTTTCCCAGGATATCCCCAAGGATTTTTAAATACCTGGTAGCTAAGTGCAAAGCCCCATGGGGGAGCTTTGGTGGAAAGGGTCCTCTGGCTTGCTCTGGCCTTCCCCTCAGTTTAGCCCTTGAAGAAGGGAGCAAGTGCTGGGGAGTCGGGGGGCCCTTGTTTCTGTCCTCGGCAATTCTGTGTTCATCTCCCCTACTTCCATCAAGAGGGATGGGGGAGGCCCACCACCTAGAACAGCATCTAGCACATGGCAGGTCCTCACACAGAGTGACATGTTCACATGAATGTGGCTGTTCACTGAGGCCCTGGGAGTGGATGAGCTGACCAGGAGTGTGGAGAGTAAGGCGAGGGCCAGCTGGGGGTCTAGAGAGCATGAGCACAAGGGAAAGCCCTGCAAGGACAGAAGGAATGAGGGCCTCAGACAGGAGGGAAAGCGGGAGAGAGGGCGTGGCACCCAGCCCCGTAGTCTATTCTTGGCCCGCCCATGCACACCAGGGTCACTGTGCAGATGTGCACACATCTAGCCCCACACAGGCCTGCGACCTATCCTCATTCTGGGTGCCTTGGAGAACAAAGGAGTCAGAAGTTAGTGGTTCCTGGCTCAGTGCCTGTAGCTCAGCAGCTAGGGCGCCAGCCTCGTACAGCAGAGCTGGTGGGTTCGAACCCAGCCCAAGCCTGCCAAACAACGACAACAAAAAAATAGCTAGGTGTTGTGGCATGTGCCTGTAGTCCCAGCTCCTTGGGAGGCTGAGGCAAGAGAATCTCTTAAGACCAAGAGTTTGAGGTTGCTGTGAGCTGTGACACCATAGCACTCTACCACGGGTGACATAGTAAAACTCTGTCTCCCCCCGCCCAAAAAAAAGAACTTAGTGGTTCCTGGTAGGGCCCTGCCACCCCCTCAACACCAAACTCAGAATCTAGCATCCTGTTCTCACTGATTCCCTGTCAGAAGAGGCAAAATGACTATGGGGCCTGAAGTGCCCTACAATTATGGCAGTCCAGCCATGGGCTCACCTCAGTTGGGCATAACCCTTGGGCAAAGGTGCATGAGAAGGGAGGGAGTGTATGTGGGAAGTGGAGATGCTCATGGGAATGCATTGCTCATGATCAGGATATCACTGTGTGTTGGGAGGGTGAGACTGAAGTGTGGGTGTGTTTCTGCAGCAGGCATGTGGGTGGACACTATGTCTGGGACATCCATGCATACATAAGTCACCTGTGCAGAGGTGCTAAAAGTGGTATGTCAATGGGAGTGCACCAGGGATCACGCATGCAGGGCACAGTGGGGTCAGACGTGCAGTTTGAGTCTGAGTACAGAGGTGAGGATGGGCAGGTATGTTGTCGGCACACACATGTGAGTGTGTGCCATAGGAGTGAGGGCTGTGGACCCCCTACTGACCAGCATGTTCTCCTGAGGCCGGAGCACCAGCTGTTTGCCTGCTGAGACCATCTCCTCACACTCCTGCTTCTGGCCAGGAGATCTTTGGCTTTGGCCAGCCCTATCTTCAGAAACAGAGAATGGCTTGGAAACCAGGAGCCGGAAGTAGTGTGGGATTTCTGTAGTGTTGATCAGCTTCAGGTGGCGGGAAGTCACCAGCTCACTCAGTACCTGGGCAGCCACAGAGGTGGGGGAGATTGGGGATGCATCTCTTCCCTTTTCTCAAGCCCATGGCCCTGGAAGTGGGAGGGAACTCAGACTGCAAGGCCTGTGCCCTAGAAGGACCCACAGGGACATATGAGAGCCAGGCAGGGCCAGAGGGTGGCAGCACTCACCCCAGAGCAGGGCTGTTCCGGGATGAGGTCACTGGCCTGGCACCGAAACTGCATGCTGCTGCCATAGTCCAGCTCCACACTTAGCCTGTATAACAGGTACTGCTAGGGCAGGCCAGGCACAGGAGCCTCCTGGCTGCCCCTACTTTGCTCATTTGGCCTGGGCCACCCTCTCCCTGGGCCTCCTTGCCAGCCTTTCCTCCCTCCCATTCTGTTATTTTGCTCTGTGGCCCCTGTCTGGCTCCACCAGTGCCCAGTGAGGGTGCTTCCCACAGGGGGATGGAAGAGGCAGCCCAGACAACTCACTGTGCAGGCCTCACATAGCCATGTAGGTCCAGTCTCAAGGGTCCCACAGCAAAGTCCTGCAGGCGACTTCTCTTCCCTGGAATTTCCCTTTGCACCTGCCAAGTCCACGCCTGATCACTGGTGGTCCCTAGGCTGAGCAAGCCATATGCTACCCAGGAGAGAGGCAGTGGCTGTTCCCCCCCCCCCCCCCCGGCCAGGAAGCTCACCTTGTCATCCAAGCTCATGAAACCCAGGGCATAGCCAGTACACTCCACCTTGTGCAGGGTATCAGGACTCAGCACCATGGGCGTGAAGGAGATGTAGATGGTGCTACTGCCCCCAGCAGGGACCACCTGGTATGAACACAGTGGCCTCAGCACTGCTTCATGCCCACTGGCCGGGCAGTGTAGATGCCACAAGACAACTCCCAGCCCCCACTCTGACTTACCACCTGCTTGGGGCTGACAGAGTACAGATGGTCGGTGAGCACGCCCTCATGCTCCCGCAGGATGACTGAGATTAGCTTCTCTGCCTCACTGCTGCTGGTGCTGGAACTGCTCTCGACCTATCACCAAACTGAGGCTCACATGGGCTCACCTGGCCCACTGGCCACACCCCAGCAGCCAGAGTGGCAGCCCACCCTGTCCCTCCTCCCCTGCTCACCGATGGGGCAGCTTCAAGGCTGGATATTGACACATTGGAGGGACTTGGGGATAAGAGGAAGACATTGCCCTCAGGGGTTTCAGGACACACGAGCTCATTCCCGGCTTGGTCCCGCAGTGGGAATGGTGGTCCATAAAACACCAACAGCTCCACTAGCTGGTCTTCCTTGTCTTCGGGAGTATAGGTCTCCCAGTCCAGGCGGATGTCTGGGATAGGCATGGGGGCCCGGGTGGGGAATAAGGAACAGACCATCTCCCCTGGACCTCCCTCCTCACACTCTGGACAGAGGTTAACCACTCCCCCATACCCCAAGTTGGAGGGGGCCTCGCTGTTTCTCTAATGCCACTTCTAGGCAAACCTCATTTTAAAAAAGTAGTTTTTACAGGCTTATGCCATCCTGCTCTACTGCCTCATGGTCACAAGGCAGGCCTCCACATTCGGAAACCTGAAGCCAGACACTCCACTCTCCACAAATGCCTCTCCGTCTGGCCTATTTGCTAACCGGCTGCTGCCTCCTCCCCTTCTACCCATTAGCTGTGCCTGCCTTCACTTCCTTCCCCAGCCAGGCCAGTCTCTGGGAGCTGCCAGCACCCTCAGAACTTCCTTTGCCATCACTGTCCCCACCTGGCAAAGCCTAGTCCTGGAGAAACTGAATTGCACCTGTGGGCATGAGGGCAGAAAGTACCCCCTGAACAGAATACCATCTCTAGATCTGTCCCCAGCTTAAACTGGGCCCACATGATTCTTCCTTCCAGCCTGTACCCCAACAATGCCAGGCTGTCCCTGCTCCTCTCCAGCTCCTCCATCTACCTCCCCAGCACTCAGCTGACAGCCCCACTTCATCTCTCAGAAGCCCTCAAATCGAAAGTCCCTGAATTCCTGTCCTAAGGCTCCACGTGTGCCTGCATCTATTTCATCCCCTCCACCTTTAGTCCTATTTCTCCTCCTACCCCAGGGATCAGCATGGTCAACATCCCCTCTCAACAATGTCAGCCCCTTGCACCTCTCCTAGCTCTTCTGAGCACTCCTCACCCTCCACATGCTCCCCCCAGCCATGTTGACTTACCTTCCTCCTGGGCTCAGCCTACATGTCCTACAGGGATGGCTGGACCCCCTAATACATTCCTAGCACTCTGGCTGCCCCTTCAGTCATATTCAATGCACTCAACACACTGCAGTCCATGGTCACGTCTATCCCACCCATCAGAGTGTAAGTCCCTTGGCAGAGATCCTGCTGTCCTGTACCTCCAGCGCCTGGCATGTAGCTCAGGTCCTGCTGACTGAAGGAATAAAGAAAGGGATTTGCTAGAAGTGTCTGCCCCTATGTGTAGTGACCCCAATGAGAGCAGGGCATCTGTGATCCTATCTACACTGGGAGACCTGAGGCTGGGCAAGGGCCAGTCCCGTCCACCAAGACAGCAGTGGCTCTCTCTGAACCCCAAAACTGGCTCAGGTGACTCCCACCTTGTTTCTCCATGCCTCCCTCAGTAACTGCAGGCCACCTGGACTCCTGAATCTGTTCATGGGTTGTCATCTCCCCCAGCCCCATCTTCACTCCCAGTCTGGCTCACGAGGCATAGCCTATGGTGAGAGCTCCATAGGCATCTTACCACAAGGGCTAGAGTTATTCAGGCGAAGGGTTCTGGTAACTGTGTCTCCTCCAGAGACCTGGGCACCAAACCTGCAGGCAGGGAGATCAGATTCAGCCCAGCCACAGCCAGCACCCTTGTAGGCAAGGCTTATTTCACAGAGTACAGCTCTGGCTGGGGCTCAGGCAGCAAGGAGGAACTACAGTGGTCTGAGACCTGAAGCTGGGAGCCTTCCCCATGCAGTTCCTGGTGAACTGTGCTCCAGGGCTACTTCCTGCCCTAGCAACCCATCCCTGCCCACCTGGAGCCGACCATGCTGATTCCAGCCCAATTGTGTAGGGGGCCAGGTCTTCCACCCTCCCCACAAAGCCCTCAGAGATGTGCAGGCGGCAACATGTCCCCCAGGACTTTTTTCTCCAGGCAGACGTTCCCTGGAGCCACCTTGTAGGTGCCACCAAATAGCCCTGGCTAGCTGGATTGCAATGAGATGGCATGAGCAGCCCTGCCTAGAGTCTAGAGGATTTCAGGGGCGGGGGCATCAGGGAGCAGTAGGAAAGGCAAGGATGAGGTACCTGATGACAGGCTCCTTCTGCAACTTGTCAGTGGTGTAGTAGGTGGTCCTCAGGGAACTGATGGGGCAGCCCACCACAGCCATATGCACGGGGATGACTGCTGGTGGCAGGTCTCCTACCTGCAAACACACACCAACCCTTTATGTCTCCTGCCACAGGCTGCTACCACATTTCCTCCAGGCAAGGCCTCCACTTGTCTAGCCAGCCCAAGGTCCCCACAGCTTATCCCCAGCCACACTCTGCACTGTCAGAGTCCACTTCACCCAACAGCCTGGGGCTGTCTGGCATCAGCTCCCCTTCTCCTCCTGCCATCTCTGCCACCAGCCCTGCGGCCGGAGGATTTTTGTTCTCTCATGGTCCTTTTGATCAACTTTCTGCATCTTCTAAATGGAAAGAACTTTATGATTTTTCTCTCCAATAAAAGTAATAAATGCTTATTTTTAAGAGTATGTTAACCAAATATCATCCTACCCCTGTATCATGCCTCACTGTTTACATTTTAGGGTAGAAATATCTACACTGGTGATAAAACACAGATATAAGTGGGGAGCATACTGGGCAACATGTTTTTCTTTAATAATCTTCTCTTTTCTCTAACAATATGAGATCATTTTACTAATGAAAAAATTTACAGCATCACATAACAGGCTGTACACAATTCCACTGCAGGGATGTGACCTGAGGTTTTTATCTAACCCTCTACTCATAGACATAGATTCAGAGGTTATTTACTTTTCAATTTTTCTTTGTTAAAACAATGCTTGGAAAAAAAGTAAATCTGGTATAAAATAATCTAAACATTTGTCCTCTTCTCTCCTTGGGGAAAATTCAAATGTGCACCTAGCACATTCCCAACGTGCCTCCAAAGGGTGGTACCAAGGTGCAACCTCATGCCCACGTGCCAGGAAGCATACTTCCTCTGCACCTTCACCAACAACTTTTCTTTTCTTTTATTTTTTTTTTGAGACAGAGCCTCAGGCTGTCTCCCTGGGTAGAGTGCCATGGCATTACAGCTCACAGCAACCTCCAACTCCTGGGCTCAATCGAGTCTCCTGCCTCCGCCTCCCAAGTAGCTGGGACTACAGG